ACAGCATTTGTATAATGAAAACCATGTAGGGCACTCCATAGATGCTTAAAGTCTTGATATTTGGTGGAAAACTGAAAGTGAAACAGTAAGTCGATTTATAAAAAATATTATTTTTCTTACTTACCCATCAAACGAAATCATGAATAAGCAAAATATTTGAGACATTAACGAGCAAGAAAATTGTAACAGCAAAAAATCCTGGAACATCTCTTTGGTGGTCTTGACGAATCTGAAATTATAATTTCTGTTAATTTTGGTTTGATTCATTTATGTACATTTTTCTTTTACTGTAATATCGAATTATGTTGCATTACAGTATCTTTGATATCAAGATCGAGCAGTTTCGGATCTTTGAACATCTTCTCGAATCCAACTTTCATCATTTCAATTCCAATGTAACATTCGGTAATCATGTGCAGAAAAATACCATCGAAACCCATCGTCAGAGGTATGCCGCAGAAAATTAAAGTTATCTGAAAGATCATGTAAATATCGTAACACGTGTTTGATCTTAAGTCGCAAAGAGTGTAAGACGGGAAAAGAAGATCGTCTTCCAATAAACCCTTTACCACGAGGAAAAATACACAAATGAAACCAGAGTAAAAGTATATCAATATAAATTTGTAAGCAAATTTTTGATAATTGCGCATTTTTGTTTCGACATCAAACCCAAATTTGTTTAAATTCCATAACACTTTTGTTCCTTCTAACATTGATTTAATTTGGTTTTGTTTGATGATCAAGAACAACAATTTGCACACAACCTGCAAATCAAATTTTGATTGGCAAAAAAGTAATTTGGTATACTAAATCTAAATGTTTACCATAAACATCCCTGGTAATAAGAGCATTCTGTTCACACTCTCTATGCCGTTCCAATTTAGAATTATTCCCAGTGCCATTGATATAAATAAGAAGAAAACACTTATAGTGACTATCGTTCTTATAAGTAAACAATATCTGTTCTTTCTCTGTGGGTTTAAACCCATCACATGGAGATTGTTTAACACAAACTGCGAAAGTTCGGATTCTTGCTCGTAATCCATCTCGATTGTAACTTGTATCTTGGTTTAATTGAACCACGTATTTATAGTGTAATTTGAAATCGACTTTTATTATTCTTTTATAATTCTTAAGACTGTATTAATTTTAAATTAATTCCTGTGAGAACATTACCATTTGTTGCGATAAAATAATTATAAATCAATTCTTATTTATTGGTTGTATATAATTTCCGGAAAATTCTGCATTTAATCACTAATTGCTCTATGATAGAAGCATATTTCGAAGATAATTTCAAAAAAATATATATTGAAATATAATTTTTGTTTGTTACCAAGTAATTCATGTATGATTTTATATACATATTGAATAAAGTTTCTCATAGAGCACAAACAAATGAATTTGAAGTTATAAATGTATTTAAGTTGAGTTGATAGTGAAGTCGTAAGGAGCAAACATTTTCATTGGAGTTTTGATAAAATTATAAATGTTTGAAAACATATTTGCTTTTCTCATTATTTCGTTATAACTTTATTTAAATAATTACATTATAAAACAATTGTGTGTGGTTTTACATATATATTTCGATATTTTAATCTACAACAATTCTTATATACTAAACAATATTTGCATAATTGTAAAAAAATATATATTGTAAAACATATTAAACCTGATCTGAAAATAACTAAATTCTATTTACGTTCTTATTAATTGATATTCGACGAATTTTTTTATGTACTAATAATTCCCAATTAATTTCTTTATTGTTGTTGTTGTTGGAAAGTTTGTAGCAATCCACAAAGAGAGAGAGAATTTCGAAGAATCTACAAATTTGATTCAATAAAATTATACTTCAGAACGTAATAAAGTTACAAACGTTTAAGTAAGTCTCTAAAGTTAATGGTGCTATATTCCCAATTGACATAGTCTCAGCTCTTTGAGATCTCAGGATAATTGTGGCCAAAGGTTTTCTCAATTTGATGTAATGTTTCTTATACCATTGAACTCCATAAGCTGCATCTCCTAAACTTAAAGTCTTAAACAATTTTTTTTGTATAATTTATACTTTCATTATATTGTTCTCAACTTGAACCATAATCAAATTTCCTGCTGAGCAATACAGAAGCAATTGCAAGATGAAAACTAGATACGGCGTTCCGTAAGTGCTCAATTTATCGATATCAGGTGGAAATCTAAAACAAGTGGTATGTTCTTATAAATCCTTAAATTATCATTATTACTTACCCGTCGAGTGTAAGCATGAAGAGGCAAAACATTTGAGAAATCAGTGAACAGGCAAATTGAAGCAACAGAATATAAACGAACAATTCGTTAGTTTCCTTAACAAATCTGAAAAAAATATAGATTTAATGATTCTAATAGTTTGTATTTTAAACGTTTTACTTACTGTAATACCAAATTATGTTGTATTATTATTTCGTTCATCTCGGTATCGAAACGTTCAGGATCTTTTAACATCTTCTCAAATCCAACTTTAATCATCTCGATTCCAACGTAGCATTCGGTGATCATGTGCAGAAAGAAACCGTCGAAGCCCATGGTGAGAGGTATTGCGTGAATCAAGCAAAATATAATTTGCCAGATCATGTAGATGTCATAACAAGAGGTTGTGGTTATATCACATAAAGTATAACAAGGTATTATAAGTTCGTAACCATCCCACAAATCTCTAGCCAGGTTAAAAAACACAGAAGCAAATCCTGCGTAAACATAAAATCCCATATATTTGTAAGCAAATTTTTGATGTTTTCTCATTTTATCTTCAACTTCAGCTCCAAACATGTTCACGTTCCAAAGCAATTCGGTTCCTTGCAGCAGCATTTTCATTTTCTTCTGTTTAAAAATCAGAAACAAACATTTGCACGTTCCCTGCAAATTAATTAACATCAAATTGAATTATTTTCGAATTCTCTCTTAATTTTCTTTTACCACGAACATTCCTGGAATCAAAAGAACTCTGCTCACATCCTCCGTGATATTCCAATCTAAATCCACTAAAGTTGAAATCAGTAAAGAAGTTATATCCACAAGCAAAAACATTCTTAAGAATATAGCGGTTCTGTTACACTTCCATGGATTTAAACCAATTACGAAGAGGTTGAACAGAATCAATTGAGACAATTGCGATTCCTCTTTACCAACCATCTCGAACGCAACATTTATTCAAGTGATTGCATTGATCCATTAGTTTCTCAATAAATACATGTAACGATATTAATTTTAAATTAGATTCATTTAATTTACTTATTGTGAGAGAACTGCCATTTGCTGCGATAAGTATTCAAAGTGAACAATCGAACTAATATATTAAATGTAATTGAATAGAAACTGGTTTTTCGCAGAGAAATTTGCAACAATCTTTATATTTATTTGACATAAATCTATTTAATATAATTAAGAAAAAGAGAAAACTGAACTTTTACTGTGACAGTTTAAAAATGTGAATTAAGTTATTAGATATTTTTTATAATAATTTTCATTAATAGATGATCGATTTTCAAGTTTATTTATAACAAATTCATTATAAACTTTATCTAAAATCAAGGATAAACTTTTCTAGTTTGTCCTTCCAATATTAATGTTTATTTTCTTGTGTAAACTTTTTCCTCTGCATTACTAAAATTCTTGGAATTCATAATTGTTTTCATTTTGTTAATTATGAAGAATTTGTTTGTTTTCTTCTATAATTTAAGGATTCATATGCTTCGGACATGTAAAAATGGAAAGATAATGCTCTTAATTATCTTGAAAAGTATATTCAAAATTATATAACAAATATCCATTTTTTTGTCCGTTTTTGTGCAAGAAACATTGACATAAATCTACTTAATAATTACAAAATATCTTTTGGATTAGATAACTTGGATTTACTTCGAAGTAAAGTTTTAATTTATGAGATAATCTTCGAAGATGGTCGTTTCTTAAGTTTATTAAATTTTGCTACCTGTACACATAAATTTTATCTAAAATTAAGACCAAAGTTTCCTAATATTTATGTTAATTTTGTTCTTCGTTATTGACAACGTAGGAATTCAAATCTTGGTGTTCTGTTTATTTGATAAAAAAAATATTTCCTGATATTTATTTGAAGAGGTTTTCTTTGCAAGTTTTGTCCAATTTTTATCATCTGTCTTTCAATCAAAACAGTTTTGAATTTCAGAGTAAACTTATTGTATATAGAAGAAATTCTCCTGAAAAGTATCTTTAAACTTAATTCTGTTCTGTTTATTTTTCTTCTTGCAAAGATTCATTGATATAAATCTATTTAATAAATATCTTTTGGATTAGATAACTTGAAAATTTATTTACCTGTACACATAATATTTTTATCTAAAATCTTGGACAACTTTTTCTAAAATTTGAGTTTTTTTTTTCTTTAAACTCTTCTCTTCGCTACTGATATTCTTGGAATTTAAACCGTTTCCTTGTATTAACGTCAATTTTGAAGAGATTTTCTTTTACGTATATTTGATAACATATTTATTTTTCTATTAAGAACATTTTTTTAAATAATTTCGCCAATTTTTGTATCGAACATAACAGTTTTGAATATAATTTGCATTACAATTATTCATCTTTATGGGTTCCATATGCTTATATTTAGTTTACATGGAATGATATAAAGCTTTTATAAATTATCTTTATAAAATTCCATTTTTTTTGGTTGTAAATTATCAAAACAATGTTTTATTCATGTGCTTTGTTTTGTTAAATCAGTTAAGTTTATTTTTATTAAAATTGAATTATTATTTTTGCATGTAATTTTAAAACATTACTGAAATTATGAATATTTCATAAAAAAATAATGCGTAGGTGCATATTCTATTTAATAAAGAATTCTTTTAAATATGCAAGTGAAAAGATCGCTTGAATTCTCATGCGCATTAAGGATAATTGGAACGATTACATTTTTTTTTCTATTTATAAAATTAATTGCAATTGCTACTTTTTTCTTCCAATCTCATTTACTATTCTCTTCGGCGATACAAACAGATGTTGCGTCTCCTTGAATTACGCAGTAATTGTGTTTAATAACGTGTATATCGAAAAAGCGGTTTTTAAAACCTGCAATAAAACGAAATAAGTATATTGATTGGAACAGATTGTACCAATTCGCAGACCGAAATGAAGGTGATCAGATCCAAATCGAATATGTTACCAATCGTCATCTTTTCACCATTCTGAGATCTCAGAATGATCAGTTTCAGAGATTTAGCCAAATCGGTGTTCCCATCTCGGTACCATTCCAAACCGAAACTGATGTTAGCCAAAATTTTTGTCTGTAATTGAAATTAATTTCAATTGTGTGGTTTATATTAAATTGAATAAAACCTGATTAACAATCATTGTTCCTCCAATGCTGTAAATCGATAATTGAAGTATAAAAGTGATATATAGAAAGCCGTAAGTTGAGATGTGCTCAGTGTCTGGAGGTATTCTAAAATTATCAACAAAAAAAATGATATTTTGATTTTTATGTAATTCAAACCCGTTTCTGGTGAGCATGAACAGTAAGAAAATTTGCATTCCCAAAGAAGCGCTGAATTGGATCATCAGAAGACCAGAAAATAACAAATTCGTTTCCTTGATGAAGCTACAATTAAATTTTAAATTCTATTTTAGTAGAAATGTAATATAAATTACGTTAGGATCAAACTGTGTTGTTTCACAATTTCATTGATGTTTCCTCGAGTTTCAGAGGAATTTGCGTTGGTGGAAATCGCTTGTAATAAAGCGTTTTTGATTAGTTCTATTCCGATGTAGGCGTAGAGGATGAAACTTAGGAATAAACCATCGAAGCTTATGGTGATGGGTAAAATTTGTAGACTTGTCACCATAATTTGCCAAGCGTAGAGTAACTCGAAGCAAGGGCTCGTCTCTAAATTGCAAATGTTGTATTGTGAGAAGGGCAAAGCTCGTTTGTTGCTGACGAAGGGCGCGCTGCTCAAGATGCAAATGCAAGCGACGCAAACGTAAACGAAGAACCTTATGGATTTGTGAGCTACGTCGTGCATTCTTTGTAGACCAATTTGGATGGATTCACCATATTTATCTGTGGGCCAAAATTCTTCCAATCGTTGCAGAAGAAATCTGATTTTCTTTTGATTTATAACCAAGAAAATCAATTTTGCATTAATCTGAAACAAAGTTTTTATGCAGATTCACTTATGTTTATTAAGAACATTCTTTACAAATCATAAATTTATTTTGTCGTTATTTACAGACTTTGGAACATTTGATCATCAACATTGAATAGATGTTAGTTTAAATTGTACTCGTAGCCCCCACATCTGCAGACTTGAAAAATTTAGTATTCGGTAACCTTTTTGTTGGAAAGAGCCAATGTTGTCCAAGACTATCTATTACCTTACTTGGAGTGGTTGCTGAAATTACTCGAGCCGCATTTTGCCGACCCCTTCACTAAATATCCATCTAGTAGATTTTTCAGTAAACAACAAAAAACTACTAACTTTGTATATCGTTAAAACCGTTACCAAAGAGATTCCTGGCAAATAGAGGACATTCCTGATGGTTTCGATCCCGTTCCAATTCAAGGCCAATTCCAGAAAAATCATCAGCAGCAGAGTGAAAAGCATGGTCAACGTAAAGAGTTTAACAAACCGAGAAAAATGATTTTTCCTTAAGGGATTGAGACCTATACATCTCATGAAGTTCAAAGTGTACTTCAAAAGAGGAAAAAGCTCGACCATTGTCTTCGATGGTTACCACTGCATTAATCTGGAAATATTCTTTTTTTCCGCTCATTTCCTTCGATCATTAATTGTGGGAAACTTACGTTATTGCACACATTTCCTATTAATTAAATAATTGTGTAAAAAAAAATATTCTCAAAGCTTTCTACGATTTTCCTTTGAATTTAAATACATATGGCATTATCTTTTTCGATGATGATAATAATAATATATTGAATTTCTCAAAACTATGATATTTCTGTCACTATTAAATAATAAATTCTGATTAAAGTTTTTTTTTTATAATTTAAATTTGAAATGAAAAAAAAATCCTTTTTACTACTTATAAAGTTAGTTTTAAAACGTAACATTTTAGATTGAAATGTAAACGATGCATCTTTAATTATTTCGTAATACAAGAAAAACGCAATTTCCTGATGGTCTTCAATAAAAATTATTGTTGAACCCAAAATATTTTCCTGAAATCTTTGTCGCAACAATTTTATGTATGTGAATTGTTAAAAAAAAATCATCAATCTTTATATATTTATCAAGTGACATTTACTAACTATATTATCGGTATTTCAATTTCTTCATTGAGAAGAATATATTTTATATTTGTATTAATTCACTTATTTTGTTATAGTTCTATTGATGATTCAGAAATGTATATATAAACAATACTAGCATTTTGTTTATTTTCTACTTTGAGATTTTGAGCTCAAAGCATATACTATTTATTTTTATTGATAATAAAATTTAATTTCCAATAAAGAACTTTCACATCAATGTTACATTTATAAATGATTAAGTTCAGTTGTTTAATTGTTTTAATATCATACTGAATATTTGTTATTTCGTTAATTTCAAAGAAAATTTAAAACTATTTACAGAAAATCATAAATCCATTTGTGAAATAAGTGAAAATTATAATGATAAATTGTTTGCCTTTATGCCTTTTGTTATTACAATATCTATTTGCGTGCATATTTTAAAATGTTATTATGAAAAATGGATCAACCAAGTTGTAGATATTCGTAATCATTCGAATATTGATATAGTATAATAAGTATCAATTATAAAACTCCAGAGGTGCAGGTATAATCCTCATCCAAATCACCGCAGATGTTGATGATAAATGTTACATAATGTGCGGTTCTCTGGAAAGATTCATTTTGCGCCTCCTCTTTCTGATCATCTTAATGGTCTTGATTGAAGCCAAGTGAAATATGGAAATTAAAATAAATCTGTTTGTTCATGTGAGGTCCATCTGCAGCATCCTTTTCTACACATATCTAAATCAACGATGCGAAAACCTCGTTCATCACTCACCAGAACTTTGTGATGTAATAGTCTTATGGAATCAAAGGATAATTTTTAATTGTTGAAATGGTAATGCACGTTGCATGTGCATTGTTATTTGATCCACACGAGAAATTTATTAACGAGCAGTTACAAGTTTCGTAGCCTCAAGGTGGTTGCTTGTAAACGCCGAAAATATAAGAAACGCGTGTCTGGTCTTCTTTTAAACGCTTGTTATAATCCTCTTTGAAAAGCCGACATATCTTTTCTATATACTAATTTTCTCTTGTCTACAAATACTACATAGAAATTTTATTTTGACATAAATTGCTTTCAAATGTTTAGTTGAATTTTCTTATTTATTTATTGAACTAATTCTGATTACTTTAATTAATCTCGTGTAAATGATTTGCCCAACAAAATTTGATTGGTGAATTATTATTTAAGAATTGAAACACAATTTTATTGATGTTTGCATACATTTATAGAGACAATTGTATTAATTTATAAAATAAAAGTAACAAATCGAGTGTGGAAAACATGTTTTTTTGTTGGTTTTTGTGAAATCTATGAAGCAACGATGAATATTTGGGGAACTGAAACATGAAAATAAATTTTATTTGCTTAAAAACTCTTTTCACAACTCGATAAAAAAAATTGTTTAAGGTGTATTTCGAATAATTGAATTCTGCAAAAGCTTCTGGTTTTCAGTAAGAAAGACTAATTTTAATGACTGCGTTCATCGTTTAACAAGTACAAACATTTAACAACCCAGTGTGGAAAAGACAAATATTGTTATGAGAAATAAGTTAAAAAGCACAAAAAAAAAATTTTGAAGAAAGTTGCAAAATAAATGTATCATTTTTTTTATTTGTTTTTTAAAAATTGAAACAAGTTATTTATTTTAAGAAGAGTACATATATTTTAAAGATTTATCAAAAAATCGAACAAATTTTTCATATCCTGCCTTAAAACATTTTTTTTATATGATAGTTTTGTCTCAAATGATATTAACAAAAAAATGTTTGTGAAGAATTAATGCAATTTACATAATAACACATTGGGAAATCTGACGTTATGCTCAAAATTTGTGCTAATTAATAAACTTATTAATGTATAACTTATAATACACGTTTCTTTTCGTATTTCGACAAACGGTTAGCAATTTCTCTTACCACCAAAAAGCTTGTATATTTTATACTAGTAGACTATTGTAGTTAAATTGGATTATTCTTTTATACCAAATCCTTAAGACATTAAGTTTTTCTTAATACAAATAAAAGACCTCTGAAACCACATGAACATATGTTAATTTTTGTAAGTTTGAAGAATATAAAACAATTTTATTCTTTTCATGTGTAAAAAGTATCATTTTTATTTGGACAATTTATCTTTTCCAAGATTGAAATTTGTTATAATTATTTCCTATGTATATTTAGAATTCTCTTTGAGATTATTAGTTCTTTTTTTTTTTTTTTTTGGACAAATGGTGGACATTGATTATAAGCTTTCTCTCACCTGTAGGAATTTGCATATAAATCAAGGTGGAAATTTCGGAAAACTATTACTATCTCTCTGCGTTTTGCCTTCATTTTCTATTAGCAAAATGAATACTCGTGTCCAAATTGTATGCAGATGTATGCAAGGGAAGATTTAAATATTAAATCGATGCATTATTATTCTCTTCTCTCTGCCTCAGTTTACGCATTCCGTTCCGAAACTTTAGCCTCCGGGGAGAGAAGAGAGCATCATCATCTCATCTCCATTTTACATGCGATTTCTTATTCCGTTTGTTGCAGCATTACGCAGCTCTTTGCGTTCGTATTATATATTATATAAACACACAGTTGAAATGCTTATAAGATTCGTAATCATACAATTCCTCATGTAAACTACAAATTTGCATACTATTCTGTAACATAAATGCTTTTATCCATTATATCTAGAAAATTTATTTTAACTGAACTTTTCTTTAAAAATAAAACATGTTTCGAAATGATTCACTGCAATGTTTTCTGTGTTTGTATTTTACGTATAATTTGTTTATTCATAACAAAAACAAATATTTTTACATCCTCGTAATTATAAATAAGTACGATACTTGAAAGCTCTGAAATATTAAAGATAATGAAAATTCTTTGCAAAATTGTCGCAATATTTGTTGCTATAATTTTAACAACATTTTCATTTATGAATTTGGTGATATTGTGTAAACATTATTCTGTTATTAACATATAAGAAGATTAATATAAAATCGTAAAATTATCGTGAGATTGATTTGAATTTGTTGAATTTTCGAATGATTTACTAAATCCGGAATAATCCTAATCCAGATTTGTAATTATAATTTTGACAAGAAGTTCATTTGTGAGCATAGTCTTATTGATTATGTTATCTAACTTTATTGGTAAATGTTTTTTAATTTGATGATTTTCTGTTGATGTAGTTTTCTACAATTGTTTACCAGTTTCATGTCTTGGATGTTGAATTTATAATCTATATAATTTGTTTTAATGATGATTTCTGTTTGTAACACATTTCTCGAATAGGTAAATGACGAAAAATTGTCACGAGATTAATGTATATTTTAATATTTACTTTGCAAGTTGAATTTTTGAACGATTTACTAAAATCACAGTATTCTGTGTTAATCCATATTTGTGTTTATAAATTGTACATGTAAAATGAAACTTTAGGATACTATTAACATAACATTGTTTGTTTTCTATCTATATAGCAAATATTTGGTATACAGAAAATGTATTTTAATTGAACTTTTCTCAAAAAAAAAATCATGGTTTTAAATGTTTCACTACATTTGTATTAATGTCTTGGATCTTGAATTTTTCAGCATTTGCTAAAACCGGATTAACGTTTTAATTATGCTTTGTGTTTCTAATTTTAACAAGAACTTTATCGAAAATTAATTACCAGATTAATTTTCATCATTATTTCCTTTAATAAAGTAGAACAATAATGTTTGTTTACAATATATACTAATTATGCAACATATTTATAATTACAATTTTAACAAGAAATTGATTACTAATCAGCATTCGTACGATTTGTTCTTTTTCTCCAGTTTTCACCTTGATTCTTTGCAAATTACAAATATCTTCACATTGACGATAATTTTTGTCCTATTAATATCACCAATTTAAATTATTATTAACACCGAAATATCAGATATTTTGTATTAATCAAAATCTATTTTTTTTGTTGTTTTTGTAAATATTCAATAAATTTTAATTATATCATAAATGTTTTTGGATTGTACATTCACCATGTGCTGTTGTGGAAATCAACAGTATCTTTGTGTGAAAAAAATTGATCATGAAGAACACATAATTTTCCAAAAATTTTGATTACTATAAAATTTAGTATTACGATAAAAATTTGTATTTTTTTGGCACATTCTATTTATACATATTTCCTATTAGATTGTGCAGAAGTATTTCAGTTTTACATGTTTACATTGAAAAAACAAATCGTATTTTCTAATTATATCAATATTCAATTCAATTTACTCAAGAAAACATTTCTTTCTAATATCAAAGAGTTTACTTTAATCTATTTATTGCTTCTTGTGTGATCGCACTTCG